TCATCTTATGGTATCACTTATCTCTCAAATTCTGCCCCTGTGACCCAGTAGTTATCTTTTTCTCAGCTTCTTTATTCTCCATCATTTGGTCTTCTATCTCACTGCTTGTCTCTTCTGCCTCATTTATCCTAGCAGTTAGAGCCTCCATTTTTTTGTTTCTTCTTCTAAAGATTTATTTATTTATTTGCCAGAGAGACACAGCAAGAGAGGAAACACAGCAGGGGGAGTGGGAGAGGGAGAAGCAGGCTTCCCTCGGAGCAGGGAGCCTGATGTGGGGCTTGACCCCAGGACCCTGGGTTCATGACCTAAGCCAAAGGCAGACGCTTATCGACTGAGCCACCCAGGCACCCTAGAGCCTCCATTTTTTATTGCACTTCATTAATAGCCTTTTTTATTTCGACTTGGTTAGATTTTAGTTATTTCTCCAGAAAGGGTTTCTCTAGTATCTTCCATGCTTTCTTCAAGCCCAGCTAGTATCTTTATAAATAATCATCATTCTGAACTCTAGTTCCGACATCTTACTAATGTCCGTATTGATTAGGTCCCTGGCAGTCGGTACTGCCTCTTGTTCTTTTTTTTGAGGTGAGTTTTTCCATATTGTCATTTTGTCCAGAGGAGAATAGATGAATGAGAGAACAAAATGCTAACAGGGTAAAACGACCCCAGAAAAATATACACTAAACAAATGAGAAGAGACCTGAAACCGGTGGGAAATAAAGGGAAAGAAAAAAAGAATATGATCAAATATGATCAGGCTGGTGAATAGATCATTGCCACACACTAGATTTTGGGTATATTTTGGTCTGTTAGAAGAAACTGCCTCCCAAAATTTTTAAAAAAGGAAAACATATATGTACAAAAATAAGGGTAAATATGATGAAGGGATGGAATATGACTGTAAAGATGAAAATTATAAAAGATTTGATAAAAGGAATTGATAAGAAGTTGGTTGAAAAAGAAGAGAAATTTAAAAAAAGCGGAGGGGAGGAGAGAATGTGATCAGGCAGGAGACTAGAACAAAGGCATACACTAGAAATTTAGGGTATATTTCGGTCTGTTAGAAGAAACTGTATCTCAAAATTTTAAAGATAGAACAACTTATATATATGCAAAAATACGGTTAACTACAATGAAGGGATAGAGTATGACTCTAAAAATGAAAAATAAAAAAGGTTTTTAAAAAAGGGATTGATAAGACGTTGGTTGAAAAAGGGAAAAAAATAAAATAGGAAAAGAAAAAAAAGGAAATTTAAAAAATTAACTTTGAAAGACTAAAGAATCATGGGAAAAAAAGCCATGAATTCTATGTGCTGTATTCCCCTAGTGTTGGGAGTTCTGCCGTTCTCACTGATCAGCAACTTGGTCTCTTGGTCTTGGCTGGAAGGGGACTGTTGCAGTGATTCTCAAATGTCTTTGGGGCGCCTGGGTGGCTCAGTCGGTTGGGCGGCTGCCTTCGGCTGGGGTCATGATCCCAGGGTTCTGGGATCAAGCCCCGCATCGGGCTCCCTGCTCGGCAGGGAGCCTGCTTCTCCCTCTCCCTTGCCTGCCTCTGCCTACTTGTTCTCTCTCTGTATCTCTCTGCCAAACAAATAAATAAAATCTTAAAAAAAAAAAAAAAAAGCCTTTGCCGAAGGCGTCATTGCCCAGCCCTAGCTAGGGGCTGGGCTAGGTAATCAGTTCGGTTTTGCTCTTAGTATCTTTTGTTCCCTGTAAGTTTTCCGTACAGCTTTGGAGGAGGAGAAAGAAAATGGCGGCCTCCCAATCTCCACCCCAGAGGAGCTGAGAACTCGGGGCCCCACTCCTCAGTGAGCCTCCGGAGAAAAGCAATCACTCCTATCTCTCCAGTCTCTGGCCATACTCCGTGCTCAGCCAGCCTGTGACTGAGCGTTTCTATCTCTGGCACCTGACCCCGTTTGGAGTCTCTAAACCCAGCAGATCCCTGCAGTGCGCTCCTGCACCGCTCCTCCTGGGGGATCTGGGCAGATCCCCAGATCTGCTACTTGCTGGGTCCCTGCTTCCAGAACGTGGTCGCTTTTCTGTTCAGAGTTGCTGGTATTCTTCTCTTCGATCTCCTATTGAGTTCGTAGGTGTTCAGAATGGTTTGATCCCTATCCAGCTGAATTCCTGGGACCAGACGAAATTTAGGTCTCCTACTCCTCCGCCATCTTGCTCTTCCTCCTAGAGGGCCCATGCTCGACACTCCACTGCTCCAAGGAAGGCAAAACGCAGTTGCCCATTTACAATTTAGCTCAATTTAGACCATTCACTTGTGAGACGTGTAACCTACCTGTGAGCAAGCAGATTACAGGTCATTAACCCTCAAAACTCAAGGATGACATCATTGAGCATTCCAGAGGCATCCCTGCATCGCACAACTGAGACAGGAAAGGCCGTCTGTGGGCCAAGTGTGAGAACAGAGGGAGCTGCACATACTCTGAGGCCAGATTCCCACAGGCCTCCAGCATCAGGTCTCTGTATAGAGCCCTCCCATCTGGAGTCCAATGCTCCCACTTCCTCCCAGTCACTCCCTCTGACAGATCCATCAACCTGATGAGGCCTGCAACACACTAATCCCAAGTTATGCACATATAATGATGCATAAATTATGAGAACATATTTAATTTTCTCTTTCTGGAGCCAAAGGCTACAAGTTTTAACAGTGGGAACAAAGAGTAAATGAGAAATCACTGACATATGTGCAATGTAAATAACAGCATTGACCTGGCCATTTTATCTTTGTAGAAATAAAGGCAAAAGAGGGAATATTTGCAAATCAAATCACCTGAAGCTTTATGTATATAGAGGCAAGAGCCTGTCTCACCAGTCTCTGTACTTTGTCACCATTAAATTAAACGCTACTTTGTAAGAATAGGTACTGTGACTTAATTGTTTTAGTTACAATCGTTTACATGTATATAAGCCGTGACCTCAAAGCTAGGACTTTTTCACTACAGCAAACTGTATTTGTTTAATGCTTGTAAAAGATATTTGAATTTACTCAAACTTTTAGTACCATTCAAGTCACTGTGAAGAAAGAGCTGACATTGCAGGCCTGAGACTGTTATCCTTTGAGATTCAAAGTTTGCCCTTGGTTGGAGTTTGGGACCTTATATTTCAGATTTCCCATAATTCTCAGAAAAGACAAATGGCTCCGTGTGCCTATTGTTTGTGTCAACAATGTGGCTTATGCTGGTGATCTGCTATTCTTCTGGAGGTCTAGAATTTTGATTATATTTTAGAGAAATCGTGCCCAATAATAACCTTGTACATGGAGTTTCTTTCTTTCTCTTTTTTTAAAGATTTTCTTTATTTTAGAGAGAGCAGAAACTGGGTAAAGAGCAGAGGGAGAAGCAGACTCGAGCGGGCGAGAGGCAGAGAGAGAGGGAGAAGCAGACTCTCCACTGAGTAGGGCGCCCAATGTGGGGCTTGAACCCGGGACTCCAGGATCATGACCTAAACTGAAAGCAGATGCTTAACTGAGCAACCCAGGCGCCCCACGGCTTGGAGTTTCTAATGTGCTTCCCTAGTAGACATTTCACAGATGCTGTCATAACTCATCGATGGAACTTATGCACGCAGAACTCATGCACGCAGAACTCTTGAAGAACTTTAGGACTTCTGCCTTCTCCTTTGGCTGAGTTTGCTTTGTATCCTTTTGCTTTAATAAATAAACCACAGCTGTTGAGTAAATGCTGAGTCCTTTGAGTCTTCCTAGTAAATCATTAAATCTGGGGTAGTCTTGAGGACTTTCAATACCACCATTCATTATGCAGTCAAATGTTCTACCACTGAGTTACCCCCACACCTCCACCACCATTCATTATGACTTCTTAAGTCTTAGAGATCTGGTCATAAAAGCTGGTGTGGTTTCTCTCCGAAGTCAACATATGCTATATACTGTACCAACTATATACACAGCTTTGTGTAACCACTCTGTGAGGGACCCAAATATTATAATAAAATGTGCTGTGTGTGGCCATTTACTAAGACACACACATTAAGTGTCTACTAAGGAAAATAAAAAGCTAAAGACAACAGAAGGATACACTGGATGCAGTGATAATGAAAGAAAAATGGCTGCAAGGTATCCAGCTCGGGCAACAAGACAGAACACAGTGGGATTCACTGAGATGTTTCTCAGGCACCTCAAACGTGATGTGTAAATCCAAATGCTTCCTGTAGTCCTCTTCTATCTCCCTACCATCTGAAACCCAGAAATTTTTCTGTAAATTCCTATAACACTGTAACAGATTATGCAGCTGTTAAAAAGTTAAGTTTGGTTTATCTCACTCAAATGAGAAAAGGGGATTATAGCTAAATGAGCATAATTTGATCCATTTTAATAAAAATGATGATGACCAGGAAAACAGACATCCTATGAGAAGGAATATAGGAAAGGCCACGGACATGAATCCTACAGCTACCCTAACTGGCCTCAAACCCTAATCTCATATTTCTTGGTTAAACGTACAACTCTTAGTAAATCCCTTAGCCTTTCTGTTCCTCAGTTTTCTGATCTGTAAAACAGGGATAACATCACTTACCACAGGCATGTTGCAAAGGATAAGAGTTGATGTGTGCAAAAAATTCAAAACAATGACTGTAACATATCATGTCTGCTTGCTCTCATGATTATTGTGGGTGCATCCTCATGGTGATGGCCATGACCACATGACACATGCAGACAGGCTCAGTATGTATGAATACTGACAAGGTGTGGAAGGATGACCAGAAAGAAACATTCAACCTGGAGACAAGAATTTGGGGAACTCTGCAGATCACTGAGCGTAAAATACCTTGAGGGGGAATTAACTCACTCATGGAACACCTCTCAAGTGAGAAAGCAAGGGTGACAGATTCTGAGAAGCACCACTGTTTGACAGATGGAAGAAGACACAGATCCTCTGAAGGAGTAGGGCAGGAACTCACAGAAACCGGGAAAGGACCTTCAAGTCAAAGAGGTGGGCAGCAGGAAATAGGTCCA